TTGCTAAGTAGGAAGCTTCTTGGAGGAGGTGAGTAGGCTTAAGTCTTCAGTTTCTGCAGTATTTTCAGAACAAATTTATCACACTTGAAAGATTAATGGGAAGAAAATAAAAAAAGAAATACAAGACAGGACACGCGTGGCTTCCTGAGCCTGCAGACAGAAAATTTAAGACGATGCTTACCAGTTGCATTTTGCTACTCAGAACCTAAACAGCAGGGATAAGTACCAGAGCTATGTGAAAATGATAACTGAAAGTTTAGAATGAGAGGACAGTTGAGCCAAATCACTGTTTCAAAACAACCACGAAACTGGGGCAGGCGGGGAGGAGTTGTAGGAATGTTCTTCTCCACTTCATTCGTATTTCCAGCCTAGAAATTTCTAACGCCTGGGAGAGGGGTACAGTACCAGAGCCCCACTCCTTCTCTCTCTGCCAGGTGCACGAGAAGAATACCAGAGCTGCTTGTCATACCAGCGAGGAAAAGGAAAGAGAATTTCTCCTTTGCCAGGAAAATCTGAGGGTACTGCTAGTTTATCAGACATCCACTAACCAAAAGCTGATATGAAAAGTTCACTGGGATCCAAGTTATTAACCATTCCTTCTCCCTGACTGTGCAATTAGAAAAAACGTCAAACTGTACATAAACAGTCATATCTTATTGCTTTGGGAAATTGTTTTAAAATAAGTAGCATTTATTATAAGAAGATTTCCCATATACCCATGTGTTTTGAAATAGAAAGCAGGCTGTGCAGTAGGGAATACTCTGGCCTTTCACCTCTGGAGAGCCGGTTTAAGTACATGCTGTTCCACATGAGCAAGTGATTTTCAAGCTCCATTTAGTATCCTAAGCTGTTAGCTGCCTAAACTTCACAAACAGCGGCCTAGTCCAGTACAGTTTATCATGACAGAGACTAAGCTCTGAAATAGGGCAGGAGATTTATGGCTTAAAATGCACACTCCGAAGAGGTTAGTTTGTTTCTGCCTCTACCAGGGTTTATTCTAGTTCTCCAGCCTGCAATAGAGCACTCCATGAGTTTACAGAGGCATGAATTGCTACTTGTAACTTATTTTTCAACTCTCAGTCTGCCAAATTGACAGGAAAACAACGTTTCCTTCTATCAAGGCAGGGACACACTGGGAGAGAAAATAGAAAACTGACATCCAAAATATTCTGACGTGAGTTAGGAAGTGTGCCTTTGGTCACGCCAGGGGAAAGTGATGCTGTGCCGTGGGCCCAGGGGTTTGATTGTCCAAAGCTAGTGAGGTGGCATGGTATGCAATGATGAATTTGCATACCACGCTACTACTTTGATACCTAATTTGCACCCCCACCCCCAAATCTCAAAAACTTGAGTGATATGAATAAAGTTCACACAGCTTACCCCTCCCCTGCCCCCAGTTCAGTTAAAAGAAAAAAAAAAAAGTGGTTGTACTCTTTCAGATTCCATTGGGTAGCAAGATAAATTTTGGCACAAAAATCAAATGAAATACCAATCTATAGAGGAAGAGCCTGCTTCAAACATTATGGTTAGTCAGACTGCAAACCAAAGATTATATTATGATTCTGAGAAGGCTACTTTATATATAAATTCATAGCACAGCCATTAGATCAGAGGATGAATATCTGCAGGTAAGAAAAGTTGTAACACCAATGATCTTATAGTATAACAAGAAAAGCTATTAAAAGTAATTGTTTTCTTATATGGAATGGAACAAAAAAACCCAGAACAATTTAAAATGTCATACATATTTACAAAAATCCATTTTCATAGCTAGAACTATTATGAAAGCCAAAACAATGAGCAGAGAGCTATAGCTAGATACGTAGTTTGAAATCTGTACTGTCATTATCTTAGAAGACTCACCTTACTCAGTTTCATATTATTTAATTATAATGAACCTTTAATTTCAAGATTTGCTTATTTAGAAGCTGCTTAGTATGTCTGGCAAAGCCTGTCCCAGGATAATATTCTTATATGTAAGTTGCCTTAAAACCAGACAGAGGAAAAGAAAATAGCTTTTTCTTCACTGATGGGAATATACCTTTATTAAGTGGATAAAAGGCTCTAGCCTCAATCCAGCTCAGCTGGTCATCTTGGTCTGGTATGAAAACACAGAAGGGCTTTAGGGAGATAAAAAATGTACACGTACTCTGTAAATGGGTGAAGTACTTTCTTAAAGGCAGTCACTGAAAAGAAACTAGCCTTATGGCACAAGCATCAATTCAGTAGTGCCTTCAAAATCTTTTTTTTTTTTTTTGAGAGAGAGTTATAGGGGGGAAAAAAAGTATAAATAGACTTAAAGCTCAACCTGTGATACATCAATAAAACAGGATCTAGCAATTGGTGTCTGGAACAACAGCACCTTGGAGAGCAAGTCACCCTTCCAGTAAACCAGGAAAAAAAAAAAAAAAAAAAAAAAAAAAAAAAAAAAGAAAAAATCTTTGATCCAGAGCTCAGTCTCGTATAAGCATATGACTTCCACTGAAATTAAGAGCAATCACCTACCTAGAAAAACGTTAAGCCTGTCCTCTCCCTACATGTATCTAACAAGATTAGAAGGGACACATGAGCAGGTCTCAGTATAAGAGACGTGAACAAACTTTACAGACACTTAAGCAATCCCAAATTATTTTCACCAGCTAACAGCTGTCCCCACTGTTACTTCACCAGCAGTCAAAACACTTAGCAAGATTTGAAATTAACAGGATTTCTAAAATAAATAAATATATAAATGTAAGCCTCTGTATTAAGACGTAAGCCAATAACTTACTAACAGGAATTTCAAAGAAACCTCCCAAGTGAGCAAGTTATTACACAAGTATCTGATTTTTGACACTGGAAACTCAGAGTCTGATCATGGGTTTGACCTGATACAGATATTTTTATATTTCTGAATCTTTTTCTATTGAAGTGCACTGAAGGATTCACTATTCGAGATTACCAGTACTCAATGAAAAAGAAAATGCAAATTGCACATGAAGGAACTCTTTAAATGAATACATCTAATATGCTATGTGTTAGCACAGGATTCACTAGGAAAAGAGGGGAGAAAAAAGGTTCCAAACACAAGAGTGTTTTCACTCAAAACAGGTATCAGGGAGGAAGAGAAAAGGTAAGAAACTGAAGTACTACTTAGTGATAAATTATGGCCTTGAACACACAATGTAATCCAGCAGCATGAACCACATAGAGCATCCATATATTGAATCAACCTCAAAACATGTCAGAGCATATCAGAGTATATACGCTGCTCACCATCAGTAAGAGGGTTTTTTCCCCCCCTTCAGCTTCAAAACATACAAAATATTTAAGCTACCAAGATTGATATACCCCTGAACTACATATCTGCCTTGCCTTCTTTCTTTAAATGTGCCTATCTTCCTTCGCATCCCTAACGTAAACTGTGCTCCCACAAGCTCATGACAACTGTCACACTGCAAGCTCTTTGTGATGCAGATATGTTTTCTGACAGCTTTCTTTGAAAGAGTTACTACCTTTTATTTTATGCTAATCAGGATGTCAGATCTTCTCTATCATTAGAGTATGTCTTTGAAATACTCTGGACAAGAACACAAATACAAAAACCCCTGATGAACACTACTATCTACTAGCAAGCCACAAAAAAAGGACAAACACCAGAAAAAAATTCTGAGGCTAACCTCCATAGTGCTAACAAACAAACAAGAAAACCCACACACCGCTAAAAAAACACCACGACTCCCACCAAAACTCAGGATATCTTACTGAGAAGGATTTCAATTATATAGACATGAGCAGCAGACACAGATCAGAACATTCAACAAGTCAGAGTAAGAGGTGGAAGCCAATTTCATATTGAAATCTACAGATAAACAAATTACCCATATCAGAAATTATATGAATGGCATGAATCTGCATTTTTATTCTTCCATCTCACTTAGTGCTCTTTCTTGTTCATCAGAGACTCTTCTAAGCAGAATACAAATAGTAAGAAAGGAAAGTGTATGGAGTGAACAAAAGTGGGTATTACGCCAAAAATATATATCCTCATGAGTTTTTATTCTTTCCAAGCTCTCACTGACTTGCTGTTGACTCATTCGGGGGAAAAAAAATTAAAAGAAAAAAAGGAAAAATTAAAAAAAAATATTTTTTTTTTTAATCCTGCCTGATGAGAGCCATAGATGCTATCCTAGAATAGGCCAAACTTTGGGCAAAGAAATGTTTGAAGAACACTACCCATGCACATACTCACTTTGCTAATATCACATATAAATCTGTAACAACATGATAAGAAAGTGAGTGAACATGTACACCATCACTGAAAATTCTCCCTCTCTTTCTGAAGAAAATATAAGGGATACGAAGTCAGAATGAAGCTGATCAAGCTGATGCAAGAAAACCAAAAGGAATGCAAAGTATTTATTCAGTAACACCAACAAACAACAGAAGGTATCTGCAACTACCTTAGAAAAAGCTAAGATTTCTACAAAGAGAAGAGACATCATCAACTAATACTGCATTTCTCTTCCTCAGTATGAGAAATATGCATGACATCAGTCCAGATTTTTCAAGCCATTAGAGTTGGTGCATGCCATGGTCTCAAGTGACTGTAGCCGAAAAACTCAGCTGAAGGGTCGGAAGGACTTTGGAGTGCAATAAACCATTACATTACAAATAAGACAAGATGTAAAACAAGAGCTTGCGAGGGAAATCTCCTTACCAATATTTCTGTTTACATGAAACAGAATCATGTACAAAGTCAGAGCAGTGCATTGCATAGTTGAAACAAGCACCAGCAATGTAATCAGCGTGATATCAAATGAGCAACACGGTTGCTTTAAGAAACCAGAAGGACGCCGCATCCTGAAGCTTACTGATTGTCGGGCGGAGGGGGACGCTGAAGCACCAGATAAAGCTGATGTATTTGTTGTAAACTTTCCAGCATTCAGGCTTTATTTGTCTGAGTTTGATACTCCCCTCTGTGGGTGGAGAAGCTGAGGGACTGGCTGACGTCACCCAAAGAGCACGGATAAAGTGCAGTGCCCGCAGCTGTGGGATGAGTAAAACTTCCTAAAAGGTATACAAGGTCGGCTGCCCTGCCTGGCAGGTGCTCTACTGACAGCACCCTTCCTCCTGCAGCTCAGCTCCTCACACAGACCTAAGGAAAAAAGAACAGTCACCAAGAAACACCCGTCCAGAATGCCACAAAACGTTATTCTCCAAGGACCGGCACCCTGGGGATTCAGGCTCTCGGGAGGAACAGATTTTAACCAACCCTTAATCATAACCAGGGTATGTATTCTTTCCAGTTGCTTTCTATTTATTATATGTATTAGTTATTGCAGATTTTTGCCCTTTACTTTTCTGGAGTTCAGAGGTGCAGACGAAGCTGCGAGTAGATTAGCAAGTAGCTGCTAGTTCTGAGGACAGCCAGCTGAACGCTAACAGTTTTTACAAGTTTTGTGTGACGTGTTCCTGGGACTGCTTTATTGATCTAAGAGACTTTAACTGCATTTCTACTTATGCCTCAAAAATTGCATTTAACTGCCTTGGCAGCAGAAAAACTCTGGTGTGATTTCCCCAGGCATTCAGATGAGAAAATTAGTTTTGAGCCTACTAAAGGCCAGACCCCACTTTTATCATTTTCACGACTAGCCTCTGTGATCACTGGGGGAGAAGACTACTTGGCAGCAGCTCCTCATGTCTGGAAGTTTGTGCTTTGCAAACTCCGTGCCAACTTTACAAGATTAAGCTGACTCTCATTTAATTAAATCAAGTTCTGATTATTGCCAGCAAAGGCAACAGCACCCGTTTTTACAAATGTATATGTACATGTTTTCACTTTCATGAATGTTAAATCAGTGAATTATTATAAAGTTATCCAGTCCTGAATAAGGAAGAGATAGTTCTTTGGTGTTTTCTGCCATATTTAGAAACAGACAATTTACTTACCCCCCTAATAAAGGGCAAGAATCTGAGCCTTCATTTTTTCATGGATTTTGAGCTATTAATTGCAATTTAAGAAACCAGTTACTCAATGAATGGAGCATATAAAACACTGTCAGCTGCCCTGCATCTACACACACAGATCTACCCAAAAGACAGGATATGTATTTTGATAATTTGTATGTTTTGAAAATTGTGTTCAATGCACATCAGACTAGAATTAGTTCTCCTTATATCTTTACTGCTTTTCAGAACCTCAGACACACCGAGTGTAGGCTCCATGAGCCTCCAAATCACCAATGCTTTTTTTTTTTTTTTTTTTAAAAACTTCTGGTTTTTTTTTTAAAAAGCCCTGCACTATGACTCAATATATACACTATGCCTGGTATTAAATAAACATCAAGAGCCTTGAAGGATGGATACCACTGGTGACGCCTTGCAGTAAATATGCTTCTAAACAAGAGTCTGTAGAATATTTAAGGACCAACCTTTCACATATTATACTAGTAAAAATCAATTTCATTTAATCACTTATTCCAGATTTATACAAGCATAAAAGATTTTACTTATTTTAAACAGAAGCAAACCAGAATGCTATTATTTGACTGTATGTAGCTTCATAACAAATACTTGTAGAACACAGCAAAACCTTTGGAGAAACAGGAGACAAAAACATTGAATAAAAAGGAAAAAAAAAATCTCAGGATGTTTTGGGGCCTTCATTGCCATTTATGGGCCTCCAAAAGAAAAATAGTTTCCATTATCTCCAGTGAAAAATATTTTAGCGGTGTCTGGTTTGTATTTTCTTCATGTTTAGATTAAGTGCAACGAAGTTTAAAACTGCAATAACAAAGGATGTCACTATAAATGTAACTTTCTAAAGAATAAATGATTTTGCAATTGACTCATACCTACCAAATGCCTCACAAGACATAAGCCATTGGTTTCTAGCATATTACAGAAATGTTCAAAATCACATTTCAAGTAGGACTACGAAATAAAATATATATAGGGAATAATGACATGTTTAAATTTGCTTAGCTCAAGTTCAAGAATATTAATGGTAGATTTGTTTAAAATTAATATTTTTGTTGCCACAGCATACATTTAGGAGAGTCCCTAAATAAGTATTCATGCAGTACCCCTTAAGAAGTAGTGAATATTTTGCAAGATTCATATGCCTTGCTTTTTGGAGCCTAGGTGTTCCTTTCATAAAAGGTATCACCAGTGACCCATTCACATTTGGCTTAACTGTCCTGACAGGAAAAAGAATTATTAGCCATTAAAACAATAAATAGAAATTCTTTTTTAACACATTTTGAATAAAATAATTGGACAGGTGTTAAGTTCGGTTGGATATAGTCCTTGTTCAACAAGAGAAAGCTTTTACCAGGACTTGTCAAAAGAGACAGACAACATAAGAGATCATCATCCACCTGTCTAGAGAACAGATGTCATCTCAAAAGCCCATCTGCAATTTCCCAAGGAAGGCAATTCTCTTGACTGTTTCAAGCAAATGCAAAAACCACAGATCATGATCACCAGGAGGGCAGGAAGAACAGGAGGGGACTAAAAATAGACATATTCAGATTCTATTAGGGTCAGAAACAATGAATTAACTAGAAATAATGAAAACATTTCTTGAAATCCTTGGAACTTTACACAGATGCAAAGAAATTACATCAATGAAACTGATCAAAACCCTAGTCTTAATGAAACTGAATAATTTCCATTTATTCTGACCAGAAGATAACATTTTGGGTTAAGTTTAGAGGAATGCAATCCTAGAATTTAAGTCATATTGAACAAAGCATTACAGAAACAATTAAAAATTGCAGAGGTTGGAGGAAATGGCAAAATATTATCAAATCTAGATTTAAGTTCTATTTTAATATAAACCTTTACAAATCACGGTGCAAGTATTTATATTAACTCAATTTTATATTTAGCCACTCTGTCTGCAGACATTCATAATTCTCTTCAGAAAACACAGAGCCTGAAATATTTATGAAGGAGTGCCATGATGAGCTTCACAAGGCTATTAACAGATGCAGAGAGGTTTTCTTCAGTTTCACAGGAGACGTTGCCCCTCACGTGGTTCAATAGTTATCTAGTCTCTGACAACATCTGAATGCTCAACACATATCCTTGCATTTATCCAAATCTGAGATACCTAGGATACAGGAGCAACAGGCGTGCCATACAGACAGGTCCTGAAGAGCAAGGCAAAAATTTTCCCAAAGCACCAGTAGAATCTACCTCATGCAGCAGGGGTGAGCAAGCAACAAACACTACAGACATAATATGATTCTAAGTGTTCACAATACACATTTAACGCATCACTTATAAGTTCCTTAAGAAACAGTATCACTTACATTATTGAGGTACCCACAACATCAATATTATACCCATGATACAGTGTGATCTTGCAACGCACAACCTGGTCCCTTTCTATAAAATGTAGGCTGCAGTACTTTTGCCTGCCCCCCTTCCCCTGCCCCAAGCAACAGTCAAGATTTCCCCCTGAAATATTGAGGGGAGAGAAGAGCTGGCACCCAGCCGTATTCTTCCTACCCCATCCTAGCAGCAGATCTCCAGATCTTTCCATCAAACCCAGGAAGAGCAGGTGACGGAAAGGGTTATACAAGGGCAGGTAGTTCTGCACCCCAGAAGGCCTGGGCAAGTAGAGCTCAGCACCCCCCATCAAGGTGTTACGGCCCAACGGACACGTCCCAGAAGCCTGGCAATAATCAATTCAGCTAAGGAATAGGAAATACAGACTCCTGCCCCTTTCCCTCCTCGCTCCCACCAAACAACGGTAACCCCATTCAACCATATAGTGGTATCACTGCAGCTGGTGACAATATGTTAAGAAAATCCAAGGGATTGCGCATTACCACCAGCAAAACAGAGTGGGTTAAGTCCTGCTAGCAGCACAGCTGCAGGGGAACGTACCATGCTAGACAGATATGCCACTTTATAAGGCAGGATCATTATCTCAGTACATCGCTGAGGTATACCACAGATAAATGCCACAACAAATCATCTGCTGTAAAAAGCATAATCTACTGAGTAACCTCTATAAGGGTTATTCAATCAAGCTTACTCTTGAGAGGGAACCAAGAATGGCTGGTTTTGCCCATTTTGGGTATTAGAGCATCAACGGTCACACTCGAACACTAGGACTTCTGCTGCAGTTTGTCATTCCACACATGTCCACAACATGCTAAGCAAAGTCAGGAGCCGTTCCAGGTTAAAGGGAGAAGCATTATCACACCTCTACCCCTGTCTTATTACAATAATGTAAGTGGTCTCAGTGTAGTTCATTTACACTTACAGCTCTTGAAGTTTGAGGAACAGACAATTTTGGAGACTCCAGTCTTAGAGGTTATGAGTAACTTCCTTGATTCATATTCAAACAGATTATTTAGGCACCTTAACACTTTATTAAGCACACAGTACATGAATCCATTCTTTTGGAGGGTGAGGGGGTAAGAGCCTCCAGCTGGCCACAGGTACCCATTTGGAAAGTTTGCCCGACTTGATAATAGCACATGCATTGCAGTTTGTTACAGTGAAATAAAAAATAAGTTTACATGCTGGAATGCAGAAAAAAGCGGAAAGAACAAACTCTTAAGTTCTTTGAGCATTCAGACCCACCTAACAGAGATGGACAGCTGGAAAGAGGAGAGAATTACTCTATTTGGCTGATTTTTGCCATGGTTTCAATACTAATACAGTGCAACACATATCAGAAAGAATATTTCTTTTTGACTTTTATGCTGACAGTTAGTACTGTCACCTTCAGAGGCAACAAGTATGCCAGGTTCACCATAGCTGGGGTTCAGAACATAGTGGAGGCATACTGGGCAGCTTACTCCCTTCCTCTGCTGGAGAACTGGGAAACATCAGAATTGAAGAACATCTCCATAGCATGTTTTCCAGTCCTCCATAACACTTAATTACTTCTAACAATTGAGATAGCACTTGCTTTGGCTGCAGCAGAACCCATGGTGAGATAAATTCTCTCCAATAGCTTTTTTACTTCATACACGGCACAGATCAGAGAACTGCTCTTGTAAGACTATATTAGTATTGTCATCCTTCACACCAGGATTCATTTACTTAAAAATAAGCAGCTAGTGTTATTTTAAATGAATCAACCTGTCCCCTTTGTTCTGCTGATCCAGAAGAGCTGAATTTCAGAAGCTTATGTGCTACATCCATCAATTTCATGTTGCTGTCTTGGTTATCAAAGGTCACCTAAAATGGCAATACACACCTAAGGGACCTAAATCCCACTCAGTGACTAAAGACCTGTTTAAATGGTGTGGTGGTATGAGAAGTCATCCATTTGCAAATAAAGGCCTGCAATTCTAGAATAAGCTTTAATAGCATCTAAGGTCATGGCCTCTCTACAATAGTTATTTTAAAACAGAATTATGTTGCATTTCAATTATTTTAACCATGATGTAGAAGGTTATCAACAAGACCAAAAAAAAGCAAGCATAGAAAGATAAGCTTAGGGCTGTTTCTGTGAATGTCACTAATGTCGGTACACTTCCGTGAGCTATGAATTGCACCACACAGATCACTTTGAAGGATCAGGGCCACTGTTAGTCAAATGCAATGGGACTTAAAGCTAAGTGCTTTAAGGAGTTCAGGGTCTGGATTAGACATGAATAAAGAGAAAAATGTCATTTTGGTATTATTAGCATATCTATGATTAGTTAGCGATACAACATGAGAGGCCAGGCGAGCAGGAAACACACTAACTGCTGTATTTGTCCTTAAATGTGGTAAGAACACAGGTGGCTTTCTATATTATCCAGTCAATGGCACATCATACACATGAACATTAAATAGCACAATTTCTTAACAGTTTTATTCTTCTGCTATTGCCTGGAGTTGTAAGGGAAAAACTTGACTTTTTTTCAAGCAAGCTATACAATGGCAGCTGAGACGGAAGATTCAAAGACAAGTTACAGTAACTACAGAAATCAGAGCGGAAACTATTTAATGCGGAAGTATGAAATAATTTCCATTTAATTTGAAGTTATGATGAATAAAGCATGTATATGGTGATCTGACAATAGAACTACAGATGGTCTGGAAGAATGAAGAACTCACTTTTTTTGCAAGCAATCATATAGTTGTTTACAGGCCCACTCCCTCCCTCCCCAACCCAATATGAAATAGGGAAGCATGGTGAAGTTTGTTTTCTCTATCAGTTTTCAGGTATGCATGGTGCTTAAGCAGTTAAATTTTGTTTTTTCAGATTACACCTGGAAGCAAGGCTTCAGCTGCCAACCTGTGCCCTGGGGATGTTATTGTAGCTATTGATGGGCTAAGCACAGAGAACATGACACATAACGATGCCCAGGAGAGAATTAAAGCAGCTGCACATCAGCTTTGTTTGAAAATAGAGAGGTATGTGTACATGTCTGCTCACTTCTGAAAGAAGATACTACCCAACCAACTGATTATGCAGTACAACTATTATAGAGCATAACTATTTTAAACGGTTTCTAAGAATTAAAAAAAAAAAACTTTAAAATTACAAGCACCCAGACCTACCTACCAACTCCAGATCAGGCAAGACTCCCCAGAACTCGTCTTCGTGGGCACAAGAAGAATAGCTTCCCTCAGGCTACTCACCACATTTATTGAGCGGTGAACGGTACCACCTACTGCCTCTGCTGACTCCACAAGTCCTATGTTTGCTGTCAGTAAACAAACAGCTCTTCATATTTCTGGGAAATAATAAAACCCTCAGCTGTCACTTGTTCAGTTGCCCCTCAGCCACAGGTGCTTATCATTGTTTCCTGCTCCCAGTCACAGACAACGCTGCTAGTATATCCTCCCAGTTAAGGAAAGCAACATCACGGCAGACTTTCATAAGGGGTGACAAAGGAGGCGGTTTAAAGCCCACCTCTTTGGTCACAATGTATTAAACCAAATACAGGATTCTCAAAGCAATGTTAAAAACAAAACAAAACTAGAAAACCTTCTCTTCCTTAAACTGCAGGAGTCCAGAAACTTTTTGCATTCGCTTCTCTCAACTAAAGCCAGCAAGAGAAACAACCTGCATTTTCACATCTCCTAACTGAGTTTGCTCAGCCTTTAATCAGAATCACCTAGCGCACTCTTTCAGCTGTCTCCAAGAATCAGACAGCTCTGATTGACCTGAGGCCCTCAGGGAGACACAGCACTTTATTACAGCTGACCACAATATTCCTTTCCAAATACAGAAGGCTGCTTTTTTTTTTTTTTTTTGGAAGGAGCATTGTCTAATTACTAGAGCACGTACCACAGTTAAAAAAAATTACTGTAGTTAAATCAGGTTTTGTTACAGACTGATCTATGCCATTTAGCAACTTTCTTAGAAAGTAATTTTCAAAACATGGTAAGCATAATTGTGCCTATGAAATATGTGCATATTTTTAAAATGCTAAATATTTGTATTTATACAACAAACAGTACTAGATTAATATTTAACATTAATATTACACTATTTTAAAATTAGCTGCCAAATTTTGCTTTGTCAATGAAGACAGAATTGTAACTGGTATTTGCACGTATGCTATCTCTGCTTCAGTGACTGAAAGAATAATCTGTGCAACTACCATTTACAATTGCACATATACTTTGCATACCTAGATTGCACTCCTCCTACGTTGAGAAGCAGGCTTTGCATGGATATTGTGGTCATAAAAAAAGAAATTGATATTGTTCTGGTTTAGGATTATTACTAATATATTCATGCAAAATATTCTGAGGACCCAACATTCCTTCTATCAACCATTAAAAAAACAAAATTGTAAGAAGTTTGGTCAGCTCAGGTCAAAGGCACTAATTTCCCTTTGCCTTTGCATTTGGTAACTACTAACAAATTATTTCCCATTGTTCATAGTATATGAAGTTTTTAAAAAAGTAAATACACTTTTTATATATTGTTTGCATGTAGTACACATTATATATCATTGAAGTATTTTTATGTCAAAACATTAAAAAAGCACAGAACAAACTGCAAATTTTCAAGCTGCATTATATTTTACAGGGACATATGCAACTCTATAGGAATTAGAGTTATTTAAATTCTGCCTTTCTTTCTTTCTAGGTCAGGAACTAAATTATGGTCCCCACAAGTTTCAGAAGATGGCAAAGCACATCCCTTCAAGATAAACTTGGAAGCTGAACCACAGGTATGAATTCTTAAAAGTCACCTAACCATTTCCATTCATCTTTTTACACTCTGAATTATCTCCCTTGCGGTCATTAAAATTCTTTGAATAGCACTTCATCCATTATCTGCCAGTTTAAACTAATAAGAACCGTCATGATTGTGATATGTATGAACATCATTTTATCTGACTGGATGTTTTTGTCTTTTCAGCTATAACTGAAACAAAACATTAACAAGTTACAACACATTCTCATTGTTCTTTAAAACTGTACATATCACCATAGTTTTTTTATGGAAAGAAAATATCTCCTTTTATTCTGATACGGTTTAAGTTGCTTTAACTCTTTTAGAGATTCTTCATCATATGAGGAAGTTCTTCAATCAGGAATAAATGTCAAGTACCAAAGCAATACACTCCTCACATCACAAAAGTCATTGTGATGTAACAGTCAGTTAAATAGAGAGATCCATTAATACTGGGTCTCTTCCATACATTTTTATACTACACCACAGAACTGAAAGTTACAAATGTGTTCAAAACCCATGTACTGATCAATAAGCAAACCATTCACCACTTCTGGCCAACAGAGTCTTGATCCTTGTATACGAGCAAAGCAAATCCAATCAATTAAAATCCTCTCTCTTCGATCTTGCACCCTGTCCCTTGTGCAAAGCTACGAGCCGAAGTCTCTGTATTGTTAATAGTTAATTAGCTAGCTGCTGTCTACAACTAGTGCTTTATTCCTTTGCCATTCCTCTTTAACCTACATGAACATTTGCTGTTCTCTCAAGAGGAGGGAGGGAAGAGCATTCTGCTGATCCTGGCCTTCCAGGATCAAAGCAAGTATGTCTTTATTCGGTGCTATCCTAGAAAAATGTAAGTGCAGATTCCATTTCAGTAAATCCTACGCAATAAATATTTCCACCAATTCAGTTTTCTTGGAGACACTCCCAAACATGAATGTGGCATTTCGGTGTTCCAGTTCTCTCTCTTCCTTCCAGTCTAAAAACTTGCATTAACTGATAGAGCAAACTTCATCAGAAATAACATGGCCTCTTCAGCAGTAGGAGATAGTATAGTGAAGAATCAAAACTATTTTAAATGCATATTTTTGTGGAATAGCTAGGATATACACAAAATAAATAGCAATGGAACAAATTCACTAAAAAAGCTATAGAGAAAACCACGTAGGCATGTATGACAGGAGAGTAATCCCTTTGCATGGAAGCTGCATTCCTAAAAAGGATAGTTACTTAAAAAAAAAATCACAAGATTTCACTAAGTGCTATTTGGCAGACTATTGAAAAGCAGTCTCCACTGAGCAATCAGAAGAACTGTTTCTCCTAGATTAAATAGCTAACCTTTTCATTTTAGTACGTCTCCCTCTTTCCTTCCTAGGAAAACCAGGAGTACTGAGTATATTTAACAAATAATAGGTCCCGGAAAAGTAGCAATGTTTGTAAACAAATATGCTACACCATTCTAGGGATGATTTACATTTTAGATTAAATTCTTCCATCCAAGAACATCCATCACTCTGATTTCCCTGTGGAAAAAAATATAGCCTTTTTTTCTACAGTTGCTGAAATGTTAAATTAAATTTTACTGCATATTTAGTCACAACACACAAGACCCAGCAGTGTGTATACCAGTAGTGAAAACAGTACAACATCAAAGTTTCTTTAACCTCAGATGACAAATTATTGCACAACTATAACCTGTGCTGTTTAGGTCATATTAGAGTTTGCTGAAGTCCAACAATAAATAAAGGCATTGAGGGCCAGACGAATGGAGAAAAATCCAAAACCAGTATAGTATTCCTTCAAATGTGAAACACTTTTATCCAAAAGTATTGTACACATTGACTGGTGTGCAGAAATGGAAAACCACTGAGTTCTATAAAAAGCATTTCCTCCATTTATATAATAATTAAAATTACTCAAAAGGTCATAGATGTTATAAATGTAGTCAGATTTTTTTCACTCTTGCCAGATAGACATTTTAAAGTTCACTAAGAAAGTTTCACAAAAGGAAGTCAATAATGTAAAATACATTATAAGCCAACTAAATAACAATAATAGATGCAGACTTACACAGTCTTCTTCATAAGAATCTAATTTCTATTTGCAACCTAATGAAAGATAGTTATAAATGAAAGTGAAACATATTTTAATTGTTCAGCAATTTGGCCAAATATTTGGCCAAAGAATGCTTACTTTTACCTTAAATGAATGAAAATTATTCTACAGATGTTTGGAGATGGTTATGTGAAACTGATAAACAACTAAATACTGTGCCTACTTGCAGCTACGGAACGAGGAACCTTTACACCATAGTAAACTTTTGCATTAGGCTGAGCATCCCCGAAGAGTCATTTGGAGACTGATATAGGCAATTGTCATAGCACAATGAAAGCTCTCACTATTATTTCCTCTGGGAAGAGAAAACTGAGGCAACAATTCTAGTAAATAACTTACAGCTATAAGTGGCTGACTGAGAGCCACTCTTGAAAGCTACACAGTCCCACGTAAAAACCAGCCACCTAATTTCATTAGTCTGGAGCAACCTATAGAGTGATGGATAAATAATAGGAAATAATAGACTACTTGAAGTATTACCATGGCAAGCTGTATCCTATAATATTAATTTTAAAATCCTTTCTGCTGTATTGTCAATGTAAAACAATACTATGACCTGTAAATTTTTCTCAGTTACAATCCCTTTAACCTCCTCTAAAATGAATTTGTTTCCATTACCACAATTTCTTGAACTGTTTTTATTTGGGCTTTTCTTTTTTGCTTCTATCTTTGCCTTTGAACATTTTGTTCAGTGTGACTAGGCTTTTGGCCATGAAAGACATTATACATTCCTGGGAGATATAAATACACTATACGCATAGATAAATATAAAAATCTAAACACACACACCCCCCCCCCATTCTTAAAAGTAAGTTTATAGTCTATTACCACTTATAATCAAGTTTTGAAACAATATAATTGTGCTAGTCTAGTTTTGAGGACCTACCCCCTCTTCCATAACAGCATTCAGAGATAAAGATTTTAGTCACATGATACCTCCGAAACGTAAACATCTGTGTACTGTCATAGTAATTATCCCCAAGGAATGCCATCATATGGTCCGTGTTGGATGCATTTTGACAGACTTTGGAGGCTACATTCATTCTACTCCTGATACCCATATCAATGCAAAATGTAGTTAGCCCTGCAAAAAGGACATCAGTCAGCTAGAAAAAATTTAAGAAATGAAATACTGTAATTCTCGAATATTCCTGATTAGGAATTTCAACAACCTCCAGTTCTCATTTACCTTTTGAACTAAAGGAGGACTTTTCACAGATTCAATGAGATCCAATAAACACAAGAGCTGGACTATTTTTGCTGCTGTATGTTCTGTCACTGACATTTTATATGAATAGATGAGTTAAAAAGAAAACGGAATTTAAGTCTAACTAACTGCAAATACTTGTTTCACAACTGTTATATTGTAAACATGCTATTATGGTGCCAGATGTCGTCTGTGCTGTTCATTTGTCAACAAGAAATAAAAAAAGGGGATGCAATTACAATGTTCACGGTTGTTTTTGTTCATTTTGTATCATACATGGATTTAAATCAATTTTAAGTACTCTGATATTAATATCTTCCATTAAGTAGACATGATCCTAAACACTAGTAGATTATTTCCATTTACTAATACATTTTGTTAATTGCAATCCAGTTCTATCAGACAGAAACAAGGAATTGCAAGTAATATCTTTGTGCTCATTTATCTGCTGCTTTCAGTAGCTTCTTATAGTGCAATGCTGCTAAACATTTTCATTTACTCAAACTGCTTTTTACTGTTTGCAATTTCTGGTTGCACGTTCTATATAACCATGACTTTTCTTTAGGGCTGTTCCTAAATATATTTCTGAAACTGTTATTTTAAATTAAAACAAAAGGGCCAATTCACATTCAGGTTTTCATAATTTCTATAGATTATTCATCAAAACTTTGAACAGAGACTTGATATTGTCTGAGAAAGGAAATAATGCTCTGAGGAATGAATAAAAATCTACGGATGTCAAAAATGTGTCCATGCTTATCTAATCTGGTCTTATTATCTTGATTTATTCTGCGGATTTGAGTATTCAATTATCTATTTTGTTTTTTGGTAATAGGTTTTATTTGTTCTAACTGGAATTTTTTCTAGCATTCCTAAAGGCTAAGGTAATCTAAAAAAAGGCATTTCTGCATCAAAAACCCACTTTGTTTAGAGATTTACTTAGCAGAACAAGGAGACTAGTTTGCACAGCTTGCAAGACGTAAGTGAAAGACCACAAGTGCACCTGAATAATTTTAAAGCTGAAGGTGTTGGGTGTGTCACCGTTAAAAATATGTGACAGCAAATACCAGACAGCGTAAACTGTACACAGGGATTAAGCCCGGAGTTCTGGTACCTAAGATACAAGCTTCAACAATTTGAAATAATTCTCATTCAGCAGTATCAGAACTTAGACTGTCTACAGGTCATATGACACAGTGGGATAGCAACATAAATACAGAAATGGTCTACAGCATTGTAGATGTATTCCTAGTACACCTATCACACTCAAAAACAAAGCCAAATCAGAGAACTGGTAGAGATTTCTATGAAAATTGAAGTATTAATGACCTGTGCTATCTTAACATTGCAAGTTCCAGTCTCTAAAGAAGAGGCCAATTCAGATTGTAGAAACCTATTTGTTAGGAACAAGAGCTTTTTATTCCATATGGATGGACGTTCAAGTGCTCTCGCAGTACTGCCTCCAAAGAGCGCTGCAGGACATCAGGAAAAGGCGATGGACTACAGCAGCAAACGTTCTTCACCCACTAGCGCAGAAGGAAAAAAAAAAACCAAACCCTCAGCAGATGACAGCACTATTTTTTCCAAAGTCTGTATTTGTGTGGATTAGGGATGGACCTGAGCTGACAGGGACTCAAAGGAGACTGTACTAAATATGCACAATACGAATAAGTGAATTTTCACACAGTCAACAGTCTTTATAATTCCTGGCCAATCGCTACAGAATAACATTGTAAGTTATCTGAAAGGTCATTGGAGATTTTGTTTCCAGATCTTCTCCCTATGAATTCCACAACTGGAGGAAATTATCTGGGCCAACAATAAACAAAATCGTATTCCAGAAATAAACAAACATAGGCAGAATGGTTTCCAATTTACCCGTTTCTGGGTTATACTTGTTTATGATTATTTCATATTATCTTTAAATTATACAGCATCACAATTTTTGACACACAGGTATGCTTCAAAGAATGGAATAAGTTCAGAAGAATGTCCTCAGTCTGATGTACGTTCAAGACTATTTCAGTTAAAAGAAGTGTTAAAAATTATGTGTTTTCTAGGCAAGACATTTACAATAAAATCTTCATGCTTTTGCGAGTCCCTCCACCAGTATGTGACAAAAAAGCAGAAGCCAGAGATTAGCACTAAAGCAAAGCAATTAAGCTAACTATACATCAAATGTTTCTGAAAGAATGTAAACAGTGCAAAATCTAGAGAACAATACAACAGGTTACTATAATATTCATCCCTCCCATTTCTTCTTAAAGTTGCACACTATTTACAAATGTGGAATGCCTTCTGTTTGCCTTGAGGCAGGAAAATAATAGTCTCTGAATGTGTATAGCTTAAGTAGCATATAGAAAATTCATGGGAAAATATAGTATGCTTGCGCCAGTTAAAAAATAACAAAGTCGCAAACGTAAAAAATGCAGAGATTAACAATACTGATGTTGTCAGATTTACTCATTACTAGCTTTGGTGTGCATTGTAGCTTTGTGTATTTTGTCTGCCTATCATGTACAGGAATTCAAGCCTATTGGTACAGCTCACAACAGAAGGGCCCAGCCTTTTGTTGCAGCAGCAAATATTGATGACAAAAGACAGGTAGTGAGCTCCTCCTATAATTCTCCAATTGGGCTGTATTCATCTGGCAATATTCAAGACGCGCTTCATGGACAGCTGAGGGGTCTGATTCCTAACTCATCGCAAAAGTGAGTACTGGTATTTACTTATAATACATGGTCATTTGTGGTATATCACTCTATGTTCTGTTTTCTATTAAAAAGTCCAGCTCTTGCTGTTTTTTCTGATAATCAGGAGTTTATTGATTGTCCAAAAAAATGGTGATAAATGAAGCAATTTTTTCCAACACAGAAAACTATCCATTCAGCTCTGTAGTAGCAATGCTGCAGGTAGCTAAAATTTGCCCTCTATGTTGGGCTGCAACACTACCTACCATCCTTCACTCTTACAACTGCACTTTACTCTGAATGTTTCTGAACACTAAAGTGACTGCATTTTGACTACCAGGAATGTACAAACTAAACACCGTTACTTCATCGTTACAATTTTAAAACTTTCTTAGTTACTTTTTAACTAGAAATAAGCATTTATAGGCCAAAGAAAGTTATCTTAACCCTCTTTTCTTTACAGGATATGAACTACTTTGAACACAAGCATAATATTCGGCCCAAACCTTTCATAGTCTCAGGCCGAAGCAGGTTATAAACTCTGAGTGCTGTGCTGGATTTGGATGCATGGTGTTATTTTTTAATGGATACTCACCATTCACATTAATAAAGCATACTGATGCATTTGAAATTTACTTACAGTACTGTATAGCCTAACACTGAAATTAAAAAAACCTGAAATGGTTGACTTGCAGAGATCAGGCTTGAAATTCAAATGTCTCTTTCCAAAAGAAAGCAGGTCCACACTCCCATCTCAGTTATACTGATATGAGTCTGATGTAACTGTATTCATGAAGCTGGTTCAGTTTACAGCGTAGCACCAGATATTGTATACTTATAAATCTATGGCACTCTGAAATTCTTCTGTCCAAATGCAAATACATGTAGTTCGTTAACTTGCTAAATAAAAGATAGCTAGTTATATAAGTTATCATCTAGGCCATTCAGAGATTTTAGGTTTGCTTTTCAGCAGACCTCTATTCAGAAGGCAACCTAACGCAGAGCTAAAATATGATAACTATCTGATGCCACAGACATGTAAAGCTCTAAAATGCAGAAAAACTTATATATTTACATCCACCATTTTAGTGTAATATTCCTCTATCATAACTGGGGATGAAATGCCTCACTTACTATTATTTACATTATTAAATGCAGAGGGGAAAAAACAATGCAAACTCTGTGGCTAAAAACACAAGGAAGCTCAAAAGCGCATGGGTGATGCAATATATTGTGATGCTACCCTTTACCCTTTCCAGCAGTAGCAGTTTTTACCAGTGGACTTAGTGTTCTGCATTTCATTCTGAAAGTTTAAAATGTCTGCATTTCAATTATACTAATTTAAGTCTGACAAACTAGACCAGAAAAACAGGATGATAATTGATTCCTGTGTACAAAGGACAATCTCATATGGGTTACCAGTTTTGTGAGATGCATTACATTTTTCAACCACCTGAATGATAAAGAGGAGACTGTAGAAGATGGATAGAGTCCCATCCTCCTGTGAACAAGAACTATCAATATAGAACACCACCGCAGTGGAGAAAAGGTGCCCATCTCTCCTTGCAGTCTGATGCTGATACAGGATAAGTGACAAGACAGTCCTTAGCGAACATGCATGGCCTCTAACCGTAGGCAGCACTTGCATACTGTACCTAAACTGACTTTTGGACCACTACGTACCATTTACAGGTACCTAGTCGGATTTATGGAGATTCAAAGGAGTGTATCAAGAGCCTAAGCTCCTAATTCAGAAACCTCAATTACACAATATTTTCCATGAAAATATTGAAGTAAATGGCCATTTTCCAGCATGTCAGGTGGGGGGAAAACCTGCAAAAATTAACCTGACAGTGATGCAACAAGTTTCAGAACTTTAGTTGGGCAAGGTCTGTCAGGTCTTCTAGCACTGGAGAAGTCTGTGTTTGCAAACCGTAGAATCTCTGACAGAGGGTGTTACATCTATAAAACCTTGGTTGTCACACTGTTTGTCTGCTACTTTTTCATCAGTTTGGCTCAATATAAATTCTCTCCTAAACACAGCAGAAACCAAACCGCCACCTTGACTGTACATATCCCTTTAGGACAGAGAGCTGAGGCTAAATAGGACTCCGACTAAAAGAAGAGCTGATCCTGGCCTGTGGGTTTGAGCTAACTGATTTGACATTAGCCACGATTTTGGACTTTACTCTGGCAAAACTAACTGGAAATTGTATTTAAAATATGATTATATTTTATTTATACTTATAATTTATTCTGTTTTAACATTACTTTGGCTGCTCATAGCAAGAGTTGTGCTTTTTCTAGCCTTTTCCTGCTACTTTCCATTTACTAACACTATAAGCACTGACAAAACTTATTCTACTGCAGGACCTAAAGATGGTCTTGATTCTTCAAAAAAAAAAAAAAAAAAAAAAAGACTGCAAACTTATAAGTTGCCCCCGTGTGAATTTTTTGGCTGGCTCATGCTAGACGATGATGCAGAACTGTACTTTTGCTTAAGGCTTGCCTACTATTTCTGGAATTAGCTTTCTTTTGATATGTTTTTGATGGTAGAGTATATATTTCTCTTTACATTTTTGAGAAAGTGGTCCTACACAAATTCCCCTCTGAATCAAAGGGAGAATTTTGGGTCATCTTCTACTCTACCCAAGAGTAGCTACTGGGCAGAGTACTGTATTATCAAACTGGGAAATAGAGCATTCTCCCAGGCTTACACAGAGTCACTCAGCCTGGAAAGAACTAACCACAACCCTGATACGCAGGTTGGAGGAAACAGATTAAGCATTTACCTTCTCATAGCTCTGAATATCACATAAATGGTAACCAATGACTGTGGAAAGCCTGGGCTATGTGCTGTTACACAGCAACAGCAAAGAAATATCCCATAACAAAGAAAGCCTCTGAGGTGCTATGGAGGAAAGACTGAAGTGTTCAAAATAGTGACACTGAAAAAGTCTTTGGGCTTAATGTTCACATTATTTTACTAATCCTTCTCCAGAGATGTCAAACTGGTGTGCAGTAACTTTACTTCAGTAATGTCAAGCAACATTAATATTTCTAAAAAACTGTACGTCTTTTTTATCATATATAAATTATATGTAAATTCTACTTCAAAAGCAGTAAAATTAATTCTCTGAATACATATTCATTGTTCTTGTGAAGGACCACTTTACATTCTACTGGAAACACTGTAATTTAGAAATGCAAAAGTATGCCTGGCTGGTTTAGTATCTTTTCTTCTTTGAAATGTTCAAAAATATTAAAAAATGAAATACATTGTTAAACTAATTTTAAAAGATTAATAAATATCTTATTGTAGAATTTAAGGAAATCTAGGAAATGTCACATTCATTATTTTACACCACTTTACAGTAGTCTTTCAAGTGTGGACTAAGATGGTTGTGAGGTACAGGACCGGAATGATGTGTCTAGGATTCCAGTACTGCGGGTGTTTATTCTGTCACTGATATGGACAACTCACATAACCTTTGTATGCTACCCTTTTGTAGATGTTAAGAATTACTCACCTAGAACAAAGAATTTTAGGGAGGCTTAATTAATCCTCAATAAAATCTAGCATTAAAAATGTAAAGTAATATTATGTTCCGAATTATTTAATCTATTAAAGAATATCCACTATCTTTAAAGAAAATGCATGCCAGAATTTTAAGGACTGCTTTATAACTGGCACTGGTACTTTTACAGGAAAATACTTTTCAATGAATACACATACTTTTGCTTTTCTCTACTTCCTATACTTTTGGCTTTTCTGTATCTGTTCTATTTACGCTTTTCAGCCCTGTTAACATCACCGTATTCCTGTACTTTTGTCTTTATTCTCTATAATCCGATACGCATTGCACACTCTTCTGTAATCTGGCTATTAACACAGTGGATGCAGCACTCCTTCGGGGATTGACTGTGGCAGTGGACGCAGTACCCCCTCTTCGATTAGCACGGTTAGCTCTATCTGCCCTACCGAGCTGAAAGCAGTGTCTAAGATGGCCCCTAACATTCCCTTGGAAATGGAGCTTCCCGGTGTCAAGATTGTACACGCTCAGTTTAACACACCCATGCAGTTGTACTCAGATGACAATATCATGGAAACACTGCAAGGCCAAGTTTGTACAGCTCTGGGGGAAACGCCTGTAATAAGGTAATTAGAGCAGTATCTTTAATATTTATGAATATACAAATTTAGAATATACCAAAAATCATGAGCTTTAAAAATATCACACTGTTTCTACGAAAATGGGTAAAAGGGTTAGAGAGAACCTAAGTCATTTAAAGCCATTCAATATTTCCATTAAAATATTAGTGATTTATGATTTTTAACCCAAAGTATTAAAGGAGTCTTTCAGAATTTACAAATAAATGTTTCATAGGAAATAATCTTGTATTTGTAGCTAATGAATAAAAACTGATGAGACTACCTGGACTATTAGCTGACTGACCACTCCAAATCAAGATTCTGATTCCCTCCAAAATTCAAAAATATTTATTATTATCATAATTATTTACGTAATAACCATTTAATAACTTATTCTTATTAATAATTTAAAATATTGTTATTCACTCAAATGTATGTCAACGGTTGAAATGCAGGTTATGAAGCTTAGGAAATCCTGTCGATGTTTATAGTGTTCTATTTAACTCCCATTCAGGACAATTCATTCAGTACGACTAGCTCTTGTCCAAAAAGAGCCAGAATTGACTTTGTAGGCCTACTAATCCATCTCTGACTTAGGAATTTTATCCATTGCAATGACTAAAAGTCAGGTAGGAACCTTATGTATCTGTATAACAATGATGATTATACAAAAACTGTTTCAAAGCACTATTCATTTTTTTCAAGGGACAATTCATCATTCACGTTGCTTTATCATTACTGTTGCATAATAGTAACATTTTTCTGTTTTACAACAGTACTTAAGTTAATAATTCATAATATGTATGGTGTAAACTAAAGCTAATTACTAATATTTTAAATAAGCAATAATCACTGGCACCAATGAGCCTTCTTCAGCACCTTTCAGAATTGGGCTGTTACTAACCATAAAAATCATATTTATATAGAAGTATTTAAGTTCACCCTATCTGATGAAAAGAAAACTGTAGTTCTTGAAGTCTTTGCAGAGTGATGTTACTCTACTGCATGAATACTTATCCTCAGTCACAACAATTAGAGAACAATAGAAGAAAAATTTGCTTTTTCTTTATTCTGAAATCATGGATTAAGCCCAGAGTAATCAGATTTCACAAATGCCCGTGGCATTCCCAGTTTGAGAACTGACTCTCTACATAGGTTTGAAATATCTCTTTTGTTGTGGAATTGGTTTTCACTATGTATGCATTTAGAAATGTTATCTCACACCTTTGTGCCTGGTTTTTTTGCCTTCTGTATGTAATTGTGTTATCACTTGTTCGGTGTTTAGAAATATTTTAGTAAAGAGGAGAGAATCAGGGGTTTAATTAGCCATTGGTGACAACTGTAAAAACTAAGCTCCTTCCATTCATTAAAAGCTTGTGACAAGAGAAGAAAGTGGTAGTTTCTTCACCAGCTTAAAGGCGGCTCAGAGAAATCTGTTGATTGATGAAGATGCAAACAATTACCATAAGCAACAGGGGTCACTGCCCAGCTGCCGCTGCTCTCACTGTGCCTTTTGACAGCTTAGATGCTACTCTGGGAAACAAACCAAACCATATAAAGCAAAACCGAGTCTAATCCCTTGTGGAATTAGTTGCTTATTTCCAGTGGAAACTTACCTAAGGTTTAACAGACAGTAGGAGGCCCGTTGTAACAGGAAATTTAAACTGGACATTTATGTATATATCAGCGAGATAACAGACTTCATCGAAGTAAATTTGGACCTTTGTAATTAGTCTCAGTAGCTGTTTGAAATTTACAGGTGCCACACATTCAGCCTAATTCCTGCCAGTGCATATAGTCATCTACACTTCCTCTCGACTACTTAGGATGTTAGTTATCATGATTAATTTAAAACATTCAGCACAGTTTAAAATACCATGAAATATTCTTGGTAAAATCTTTGGCTCACGGGTCTTTGGAAATTCAACCATCAACTGGTGTTTGGACAATAATTTTCTTTATGTTTGTATGATAAAATTGGCATTACTAAAAGTAAGCCATGTCCCATTCTAATTAAATTAAGAAATATCATTTCCATTCATCAGAGTTCACCTTACAATGCTTCCTTCTATGCAATACCTACTTCACTCTTTTTTATCATCTCCATAAGTTAAATAAGTAACAATTATCTTAGCGAAATAATCACTATATTAACTAGTGATCAAGCCAACTTAGAAAAGGAAGAACACCTTCACGTCATGACACTCTCCCAAAAGATTTGTTTGCTTAGGTTTTGGCTGACCTTATGTAAAGATATGAGCTGTGATCTTTAACAACATTCTTCAGGCCAGCTGCTGTGAAAAAGGAACTTCTGGATACCGTACCAAAGAGCACCTGGTAACACAGCAGTTGATTACAGGAATGCAACTGCTTTGAGGTTAAACACAGATACCAGCCTATTTCCAAATGTTGTTAGAGCCAGAACAGTAATTGTGGAAATACTTCCATGAGTTTGTAGATTTATTTTTGTAACAATCGCACGGATGGTTTTTTTTTCAGCACTTTTTAGATCAAGAGGAGGCTATGTAAAACAATGCTACCTGGAAGAAAGAGTCTTTCAGTAGTTGTAGAAACACATTGTCTTTACGTTTGTTTCCTGAATCATACTCTATGCCTGGTAGAGCTATTGCTTTAAAGTTATGTTTGTTAAACTGCTTTATCTGCTCTTCCTCCCTGTGATACAGTGACCCATCTCCCAACTCAGTGCCTCAGTCTGACGTGTACAAGATGCTGCATGCCAACCAGGAGGAGCCCAGTCAACCTCGCCAGTCTGGCTCCTTTAAGGTGCTCCAGAACATAGTCTCCGAGGAAGGTGGTTAATAATGACATATTCTACCTGTTCAAAGCATTTGTAAATGTTTGTGGGAAGGGGGAATCTGAGAAGAAAATATGAGAGATCAGAGCTATAAGAATTTCTGAAAGCCCAAGTAATTCTGAACCTTATAGATAGCACACCAGCCTCCTAACATTTCCCCCCCCCGCCTTGCTTTTATAGCTAGCAATCTCCTGTGTGAATAAAATGGGAGTGTTAATTACATTTTTCAGAATCTCTTCTCAGATTTTAAGATCGTTAATGTACAAAGTTGACTTTAACTTAATGATAAAAAGTTTTATGTGAGAGAACTTTTGCGACAAACTGTGTATACTCATGACACCGAGAAAGAAAACACTCTCTTCCACATACAGGAAAAGAGAAGTTTAAACCAGCTCCTAAAATAAGTTTCACCCATCGCCTCTTAATTCTAAATAAAAATTGAAGAGGACAATATAATTTACAGTCATACTTCCTTCAAATGAAGAAGTTTTGAAAATAACATTACTAAAGGCTGCAAGTTTGTTATATTTACAGTAAGTGTAAAGAATAAAATAAGACCAAAATTAATGTAAAAGGTGAATATTTAAAATTTTAATTTTTATATCTCAATAATTACCAGAGAAGGGATAAATACATCTAATTGTCTATATACATCATTGTGGCATTTTCTTGTATTTTGCTATAATTTTTTATTCATATCATGTTACTAATCTTTCTGAATTTGTTGTATGGTTAGTTATATAAATAAGAAGCTTTCTAACAATAGGTCTTGCTATGTTAAAGCCAAATCCTCCTCCCTCTCCTGCTATACCCAAGACCTACTATCAGAGAATTAGACGATGTCTATGAGACAGCCAGCACTATATATATAATCACTTTTGTACTTGCTTTTTGGCTACAGCTACACAATATTTTTCCCGATTCCAAAGAGGTGGAATCTGGCCCACTAAACTTGTATACAGAAACTTCATTGTTTGTTGATATAAGTGAAAGCCTGTAAATACATCCAGAAGTGTATTTACAGGAAAAGCATTTAACTGCATCAGGTGCTTTCATATTAGCCTGTAAGTAACAGGATTGTTTTGGTTCTCAGATGGACGCCCGGTGGGTACAAGAAGCGTGAAAGCACCTGTAACAAAGATACCTACCGCCATGCCCGGTGTCCAGAAAGTGCCACTGTGTGACAAGTGTGGGAATGGGATTCTGTAAGTTGTTTGTTATTTTTAGTTTTAGAAATCTCTAGTTCAAGCACATGTCCTCAAACACCACTGCAGACTACAGGAATGCTTTCCAAGTGATGGTCTTGGTCTCCATCTGCACTAGCAGAAAAATGCTTGTAGAGAACAGAGATATAAAAATATATTGTTCTAAATCCCAAATTATTAACCTGTACCTTAGACACTTTCGATACAGATTATTTCCATTTTGACAATGTACCGTCAAGGCTTTAATTAAGATTTCTCAAGACCTTTTGCATGTCAATCATTAACACATATATAATGAAACCAGCAGTTACCTGTGCTGCATTGTCTCAGGCTGTGAATTCTCAAAAGTTTCTTGGTAGTGTAAAGCATCCTTCTCCCAACCCAGCGGGAGTATCCAGAAAGCTCTATGGGCCTATTTGAAAACTACCAGATTCCTATCTGAATGACATCACTAACTTCAGCAAAGCACACAGATAACGATGAGCTCAGAGAACACAGTCACTGAGGAAAAGAAATGCAGTTTTTAAACTCGTTTTGTCACCATTTTGATAGGTTAGACTATACTTTCTGTGTTGTAACCAAACTAATCTGTTTCTTCAAACTCTAGTTTTCCAATGAACTATTGAACTATGTGATCAACTCCACGGCATTTTATGTCACTTACTCAAACTCAGCTTCCAACCTTAAGTTATATAGTAGTTGGCAAAACCACCAGATGAACAAACTAAGCCTTGAGATAAATACCTAGAACTCATTTTGTGTCATACTGTAGTTTCTTCTCACTTTAAATTCATATGAATTAATTGTTTTTTTCTTTTTGTTGCTTCCATATAGAGGAACAGTGGTGAAGGCACGTGATAAATACCGGCACCCAGAATGTTTTGTGTGCTCTGACTGCAATCTCAACCTGAAACAAAAAGGCTACTTCTTTGTGGAGGGCCAGCTATACTGTGAAGCTCATGCACGAGCTCGCATGAGGCCACCAGAGGGATATGAAGCAGTTACCGTTTACCCAAAATGCTAGTCTTACGTTAACACACAAATATATGCATGCACACAAAAAGCCATTAACAGCTTAGAACTGCAGTACAAGTGTCAGGACTTCTGCCTGATTCCAAAGTAGCAGCTTTTAAACCTTTTCTTGTGGGATTCTGAGGGAGGTGGAAGTCCCTGTTAGCCAGCAGTAGCATATTATACCAGTAAAATTCTGCTAAAATATTATCTTTGAAGCTGCCAATATAACTCAATGAAGTATAAACTAAAACAGCTGTATTGGAATAAAAAAAGTGAAACAGCTGAGGTATTACATGATTACTACAGCATATATGTAAGTGCTGTAATCAAGACATTATTTTTAACATGAATTAAGTATCTGTGCAAACACCAAAGCCATCAACGTGTTACAGGCTGGGCCCTAACAAATGTAGAAACTTGACAGAACATTAGAAAAGCAGCTATTTTACATGGATAGTACAAAACAAGCAGTTGTTCATGTCTGCTTCCACCATCTATTATTCAACTACCATTAATGTATGCCAAAAATAAATTTTGCTTACTTTGCTTTCAATTTGGGGTTATATCGACTTGATTTTCTGATGCAGCAACTGTGATAAGGAATAAATATCAAGTCATACAATAAAATGGCTAGTATAATAAAGACTGTTTAGTAAGAAGCAAAATAGAAGTTCTATGTTGTTTTAATGATTTGCAATTAAATCAGCTTTCACATCACTTAGCAGAAAATTGTTCTGAGGCATGCACACACATACATTGGTTTGTGGGGAAAAAAAACCCCACACACTAATAGGAACTCACTGCAAATTGAGAATGAAAATAAATTTAAAAGCCTTTCTGCAGAAAATGGTACTGGTTTTTTGCATCTCCATCTTTCCATTTCCATAATAGAAACAATGGGGAAATATCATCATAATATCTTTATTGCTGGTAAATTAAAACTTGGACAACTTTAAAAATAAATGTTAATTAAAATATGCAAAGGAAAGTTCTTTTATAAAAACCCTGGTGAAGTCCTAAGGAAAAAAAAGGCTGAAAGAATACAGTTTTAAATCAATTTCTGAAACTTTTCAAGGGCTACATTGCTTTGAGGTAGGTGCCAGCTACATATACACATGACTGACTGACAAACCGAACCTTAGCATTTTCAAAAAATATCAACACAACTCATAAATGATTTATTGGGGTATTTTGAACCCACTTTAAAATCTAAAAATTTAAAAATTTTATATCAAGTCTACAAGACTAGCAGAAATTAACAACTCGGGGGCAATCAATCTTATATACTTTTCCCATTCTACAATATAAGAAGCTTAAAATGTAAGAAGAATATGGAATCAAAATAAGAAGCTGTACATACTTTAAATTTATTTTTAAAATTCAGATGAGTCCCAAAGCTTGAAATACAATGTCCACATACTCAAAGACTTTTCAAAATGTCTTAAAGTATTATTCCAGAATTTAAATTTTTAAAAATGTGTGTCACTGCATTTATAATTTATGTCTGCATATCAAAAGCAGACATAAAAAAAGTGTCGCACCCTTTTAAAGGTTAGTTCCTGAATTATTTTTGGGCACAAAACATAATTCTGCTCCTCGTGTATCATGGAGGCTATGTGTAGCATTTATATTTTTCCAGTGATAAAGCCCATAAAATAAATCTGAAAATCCTTTTGAAAGTGAGAGTGCACATAATGTCTATTTTTACAAACCTAAAGTGTCATCAGTGTTTTAAAATATTTGCTTAATGTTCATTTCTTTGTGGAGTAACCGAAGGTAAAAATAAATCTACTACATATAAGAAAGATTCTGTATTTCTTTTCAACTGGTATGAAAACTGAGAAAGTGTGAATGTCAAGTGACTTGACAATAATAGAAGTTTAGCATTTTCAGCCTGACAGAGGAGTATGCTTCAGATTTATCTGAAACATACTGGCAAGAATGAAACACAATTTTTGATTTAGGCATTTGAGTATATAATCTGGGCAAAATGAACTTTCTAAAACTGAATGAGATCATGTGCTTTCAAAACTGAAGAGCCAGAACTGCTCTCTCTTTAACAGGCCAAACGTACCAATTGTAAATGCGGGGAAACTCTCAGAAATGTAGATACAAGAACTGTTAGCTTAAAAGAAAGTCACAGAACGTGACCTGATGCCAAAACTTTGGGGAAAGTTCAGTGGTATTGCATCATCACATGGTGCTATTTTGAGAGGTTTGAGGTTGGACATGATTTTGATAGAATTAGAAGGTAAGCCTATCTAATTGCAAGTACTGACCTATGTGAAAACCTTTACACGAATATAAAGGAAAGAAAGATTTTCAGTTAATGCAGATTCTAAAATCCTTGATGCTGACAGAGGAGAAAAATAGGAAATCTCATCCTACAGTCACTTCAGTCTGGAGGAACTGAATACAGAGATTTAAATGTGAGAGAAAGATACAGCAATTCTCCCTATCACATGCTCGAGGCCGAATTCTTTACCTCAGTAGGGTGTCAGTGGTTTCTGGCACAAATCCTTCACAAAGTGTCCAGCTGAAGAACTATCCACTTTATCTTCTGGCTTAAGAATGGCATAGCCAGTAAATCATGATAGCTTAATGCTACTATGCCTCTCAGCTGTGTCCAGACTTCTTTATACACATATTACAAGTTGAAGAGAGCCATGGCATTTATTTTTAGATGGAGAGAAAGATAGTAAGTGTGACTTCACATGCTTGTTATCTCGACTCTTCAGATGTTGATCAACAGGTGTGAAAAGCTTTCCTCAGCTATGTTACTGCTGCATAAACAGCAGGGCTGTTCTGGGAGATGCTAAAAACTTATACAAAACTGTAATTCTCCAAATGAATACGCCAAGAATTGCATCTGAAAATACACAGATTAATTTATACAGTACTTTCATATCAATTGTTCCAAGACAAATGCTTTTGGTCTTTTAAGTAATGCTGAAGCGTTGCCAACAATTTGAAACCTAAAAAGTTCTCTAAAGAAGTTAAAAGAAACTATGTTGTTTCCATCAACTCAATAACTTTTTCCAGTTTTTCAACCACTTTTCATCACTTAAAAAATTGGACTAACACTTTTGTTCAGATCAGAAGTATACTATTGAAAGTAAACCCCCCCATCACTCCCACTCCCTGCATTTGGTTCACATCACACAACAGCTTCAGAGTGCACGAAGTGGTCTCCTTTACGGTGAAATTCAACCAGAAGATGATCTCTGGGAGCACTGCTAACGCGCACCAACCACTAATGGGAATTCAGCCCATAGAATCAAACTAGAGCTAAACAGCCCCTCCCTGAAACACATACTAGGTAGATGCCAGGTCCTCAATACCAACTGATCTGCTCCTACTGCACCACGCTGCCTGCTAACGCAGTCATAGCTTGAAGTATTTCTTGCAACTTTCATAGAGAAAACGTTTCTTAACAGAAATTAAATTACTGACTGTTTAAAACTAAAGATATATCCAGTATCAGAATTTGGACCCAGCTTCAGATGTTCCAAAGCTCAGAGGTGTTTGATCAAGAATTTTGGTTCAGATTTCTATAAACCATATAAAAGGGAACAACTGTGCAGTTGGGTATAGATCTGACTTGCATATAAAACACGCGCATTTGATTTAAACTCTATTTTAGGGGGGCTTTTTCACAAGGACAAGATTATTATTTACCTAGTGGGTTCATACATTTATAAATAAAATGGTGGGAAATAAAACATGTTTGTTGGCATGTATCCAGCAAATTTTATCTCTAAATGCAACCATACTCTGCAGATTTGCCCTTTGGTGTTTTTTTTTCTCCTCTCATCCAAGCAAGCTATTCAGATAGCTTCTTTTGAATCTGTTAACGATAAACTTCCACAAGCAGATTATTCCTTTTTTCTTAATACATGAAGTTTTAAAATAAAATGCCTACAAGCCTTCAGCATATGCTCAGTACCACCAACTAAAATCTTTGTCTCCACAGCATATGCTTGATAAGTAATATTATCTACACAATGTCCAAGTTCACAAAGGATTTTGTTTCTATATATGGTAAAGCACACATTTGTTTTAGCATACTGAGTGAGTGGTTTTAGTTACACTCAGTCTACCTAATCCTCCCTCTCCCCACACCAGGGCGTGATCCAAAGACCAGTAAAGCTTTTAGGAGAGTCTTGAAAGATTGTATATGATATTACTCTGAAAAAAATACTCTCTTTGGCACAGGCTAGGACAGTTGTCCAAAATAAAACTTTAAAGAAACACTGTTTCATACAGTTCATGTGCTGACAAAATTACAGCTGTGTTGGAGTGACAAATCCAGAAACACAGAAACTGTAGAGTAGTTCAAGATTATTATTTATTAGTCAGAAAACAAAATACTCAGTAAATACCAAGAGGATTCTGAGCAAGAGGGAAAATCTCTTGCAAGCTTTTCACAGTCTTTCTTTTCCAGACACTGTTCAAAAACAGATTTTTATAGATGTCTCATTCTCTGTATAATGATTTTTTTAAAAAATCTTTTTAGTATATTCTTGATTTAAGAGGTTTTTAATTATCCTGCTAAACCAGCAGCCTGTAAAAAAGTTAAATATTAATTAGACCAGATACACTAAAGAGAGATGACTGGAACAACATGTTCAATGGAAAAAAAAAAAAAGAAAAAAGAAAAAAAAGTAATACACGCAGCCAAATTGTCTCAGCACATTCAGACCAAAAACAAGTTTCCATATTACAACAAAGAGCAATGCTGTTTGTGATTTTATGCAAAACCTGTAGGGCATCAGTAGTAACACCTTACACTCCTGCCACAAGGCACAGAAATATTCAGTCTATTCATATACAGAAAGGAATTTAAGTTTCCCAGCACCAGCTTTGCAGCCAGTGCAATTACAAGGTGCTTGCAAGTTGTGCAGACACACAAACCACAGGCATAGTTAGTTTTCTTTGAGCAAGAGTAAATTCCAAAGAGAATCTATGATTGTACAAATTACAATCAGTCTTTCGGTCTACTTACAAGTAAAATATCCTTTTCACATATTGACTATTCAGTTTGTGTATAGAACTCATTCAATCTATTAATTATAAATGAATGCTATCTATTTAGAAATCATATTTCTGACTGAAATTTCTCTAATTGGCAGTGTCACAAATAATTCTCACCACTGCTATACCTTGCAGAGATTGGACTTGTAACATTACTTCTACAGCTTGCACATTTAAGAAAGTTGGGTATGGGTTAAAACTGTCAAATATGAGACACTTAACTAAGACACTTCTATTTTGGCTTTCTAATATTTTCCAAGAATTGCACCCCTTTCTGCTGTTTTACTCTTGCAAATTCCCTCAATTTCATTTTACATTCACTGCAAGAATACCCCTACCTTCCAAACCACAGTCACTTTTACAGAGTTCCTGTTCACTGCTCTAGATCTCTTGCACCTCTTTGAGCAAGCCAATTCAAAACTATACGCAAGTAGGATGTATGAGGTGAGAAGTACAATTGTTGCAAAGTGAGATTCTTCCACTGTTTACCTTATCTCATTTTATTATTTATAAGAAAAGCACATATTACTAGAACACTCAGAAGCAGAGATGGCCCAACTGTATCAGCCACTGTATAGAGAATAAGAAATAATTGGCAGCCCACAGTTTAAAATTCAGACTAAGCAGACAAGGCAGTTACAGTATGGAAGGGAAAAGACACAATATGAAGGATAAATGGCATGATAATTTATAAACATTTTGGGATTTTGCTTTTTTTCACATAAGGTTGGTGGACTGAGGTTGAAATAAAGAAGCTGTAAGAGTTACAAAGT